CTGGGGCAGTGGGAGCTGTCCCTGATGGGCTTTAAGGTCTCTTCCAACCCCAACCATTCCATGATTCCACAATTCCCTTGTCCTGCAGATTTCCAGGGGGAGACCTCTTGGTGCAAACTTTCCCACCCCTTGTTGAATAATCCAAGCCAGGGTTTAATTCCAGAGCTGCTCCTGTCCTGTGCATGGAGTGAGGTCCCTAAAACTCCTGTTCTCCTGTGAAACAGCTCCGATATTTCCACAGGGCTATGGTGGGGTGGGATGGGGTTTGCGCTTGTGAATAAATCAGGCTCCTTCCTCTGCTTTTTGAGCATCTCTGGAGATGTTCAGTAATGCAGTTTTTATTCTATTTTCTGTTTTAATTCAGGTTTTATTCTATTTTATTCAGTTCTAATTCTATTTTGAGTATCTTTTGAGCGACTCAGATTGGACACAATCCTGAATTCTGGGCTCCAGGGGACCTCCCTCACAACCTTTACTCACCCTGGGAGTAAGGTTGGGGTTTTAGGCTCCAGGAGATGCCAGAGTTGGGCTGTCAGGGGCTCTGAAGGTCCAGACCTCCCCATTCCCCGACCCCACCATTTGGCAGAGCACGCAGGGCAGTGGTGTGAACGAAATCCCTCTTCACCACGTGGATATTAATTTTATTTCCACATGGATGTTTTATTTTATTAATTTCTTTTCAATCTGTGCTGATCCTCTGCAGCGAAACCCTCTGGAAGCTCCTCATCGCTCCCCTCCAACGGGGGGTTAATGGGTGCAAAGAGGGATTTGCAGGGCAGCTGACAGCTCACAAAATGCAATATTTAACTGCCCTTCCTCCCCAGCTCGGCGTCGGGAGCAGGGATCCCAGGGACAGGAGAAAACTGGACCTCTTGGCTCATTATGAGTCATTTATTCTGAACCGCACAAATTCTCCGATCTGAATCCCAATTAAGACATTACACTACATGTGTTAATTAGTCTGCTCTCCTTTTTAAATCGAGCCATAACTCTTCCTAATTAGGAGGTCGGCCCTTGTAATTTGAACTGGCCTGGGCTGGAAGCACCCCTGGAAGTCACACCTGGGGGCTGGACCCGGGATCGTTTGGAATTGGTTGAGATCTTACTTGGGTGATTATAAGGTCCCCGACAGGGCAGTAATTACAGAGGGTGCAGTTCCAAATTAAGATGTCAGGCGTGGTGTCGGCACCGATGCCTTGGCTCTAAACTGAGCCCCGGGGAGGCGGCGAGGCTGCTGCTGCTGGGATTGTCCCAGCAGGGCTCCCACGGATCACAGCAGCTTCAGAAGGACAAAAACCTGCTCCAGGAGCTGCCCCTGTGCATGCAGGGATCAGCACAGCTCATCCACGGCATCCTGGCTCGGGGCAGGTGTTACAGGGTGAGCAGGGCAGCTGGGGGGCTGCTGGGACAGGACACCTTTCCTGCTGGGATGGGTCACCTTCCCTGCTTGGATGGGTCACCTTTCCTGCTTGGATGGGTCACCTTTCCTCCTTGGACAGGTCACCTTTCCTGCTTGGATGGGTCACCTTCCCTGCAGGGACAGTCACCTTTCCTGCAGGGACAGTCACCTTCCCTGCAGGGACAGGTCACCTTTCCTGCAGGGACAGGTCACCTTCCCTGCAGGGACAGTCACCTTCCCTGCTTGGACAGGTCACCTTCCCTGCAGGGACAGGTCATGTTTCCTGCTTGGACAGGTGACTTTTCCTTCTTGGAGAGGTCACTTTCCCTGCTCAGACAGGTGACCTGCTCTCCTCCTTGGACAGGTGACCTGCTCTCCTCCTTGGACAGGTGACCTGCTCTCCTCCTGGCACGGGTGACCTGCTCTCCTGCTGGCACAGGTGACCTGCTGTCCTCCTGGCACAGGTGACCTGCTCTCCTGCTGTCACAGGTGACCTGCTCTCCTCCTTGGACAGGTGACCTGCTCTCCTCCTGGCACAGGTGACCTGCTGTCCTGCTGGCACAGGTGACCTGCTCTCCTCCTGGCACAGGTGACCTGCTGTCCTCCTTGGACAGGTGACCTGCTGTCCTCCATGGACAGGTGACCTGCTGTCCTGCTGGCACAGGTGACCTGCTCTCCTCCTGGTACAGGTGACCTGCTGTCCTCCTGGCACAGGTGACCTGCTCTCCTGCTGGCACAGGTGACCTGCTCTCCTCCTGGCACAGGTGACCTGCTCTCCTGCTGGCACAGGTGACCTGCTGTCCTGCTGGCACAGGTGACCTGCTCTCCTCCTGGCACAGGTGACCTGCTGTCCTGCTGGGACCAAGCCCTGCAGGCTCCCCCGAGAGTCTCTGAGCTGCAGCCGTGCTCTGTGCAGCACCGAGCAGCTCAGCCCTGGAGAACAGAAGCTTGATTTTCACAGCACAAACTGATAGGATCAACTCTGCCTCGAGAGCTTATTAGCGAGGAGCTGAGCTCCTGGAGGAGCTCAACTCTGGTGTTTGCTCTGCTCACGTCTCCCCGAGCTCCTGGAGATGAAGGCAGCTCTCAGCCAGGGGGAGGAGGCCGAGTGTGCCCAGACAGGAGCACACAGGGCACGAGTTCCTTCTCGTCAGATGCCCCGGGTGGTTTGGAGGCAGCGCTGGGCGTGCAGCGAGGGGTGAGGTGACCTGGGGTCCCCCGGCTGCAGCCCCGTGCCGAGGCAGGGCAGGGCAGCCCTGGGCTGGGAAGGGCTGCCTGGCACCTGGCAGGGTTGGAGGGGTTCAATCCCGGTGATGGCACCACAGGGATGGATGATCAGGGCTTGGTGCCATCTCCTCTACCTTCCCTGGCCCAGGAGAGCTCCCGTGACTGCCCCAGGGGGAAGGAGATCATGGAACCATGGAATATCCTGAGCTGCATCCACAGGGATCATCCACCCAACCTCTGTCCCTGCCCAGACCCCCAAAATCCCACCCTGGCCATCCCTGGAGCGCTGTCCAAGGCTCCTGGAGCTCTGGCAGCCTCGGGGCCGTGCCCATTCCCTGGGGAGCCTGGGCAGTGCCAGCACCTCTGGGGAAGAACCTTTCCCTAAAATCCAACCTAAACCTGCCCTGCTCCATCTCCAGCTGCTCTCCATGTTCTCAATAACCCAGCAGCAAATCCACTCCTTCTCCACATTGCTCACACACACTGAACTTTCCAATAAAACTCCCTGTCCTGGTGTTGATTTATATTTCCTTTTTTTTTTTTTTCCAGTTGAATGATAGGGATCCTTTTTGTAAATGGCTCTGGAATAAATCCTTCACAAATTATATTTTCCCCTTTAACATTGGTAAACTGCCTGAGGCCCCATATCCTGGAATATACATCATCTACCAGCTTCTACCAGCCAAATGTCCCAGTTTTCTGGTGTTAATTCCATCAGAAGGGTCACTTTTGGGTCATTACCAGGACCTGGCCTTGCAGGTATCTTCAGGAGTTTGCTGTTAACAAATCTGGAGCTCACAAACCTCCCCCAGGAACAGGAATGTTCAAACATCCTTGTCACCCTCTGCAGATGCTGGATTTTAACAAATTAAGGGATTGTCAATGTTGTGGCTTTATTACCCTGTGAATGAAGCTGTTTGTGCCTCCTCCAGTGGCTTTTCCAAAGCTCCCAGAGCTCCCAGGACCTGATTTCCTTCTGCTCCCTGGGCATCAGCAGGTGTCACCTGGGGTGGGGTTGATAGTAAAAGAGTTTTAAAATCATGGGGATTTAGGGTTAAAAGGAAAATTAAGCTTAGTTGGCCCTGAAAAGAAAAATAAATACCCTAGGTACATGAAGACCTTGTACCTTGCTAGAACTGCACCTGGGTAGGTAGTACATGATAAATTATATGATTGTTAGATGTGATGATTTTTTTAGTAATTAAATATAATTGCTGTTTAATCGTAAGAATAATCATGAGAAAGTGTGGTCAGGGGCCTGAGAAAGATCAGGAGAAACTCATGTCAATGTACACAGTAGAACAATATAAGTTTATTAATTAATATGTAGGTTATACAAGGATAGAATATGAAATAGGTTCAGCTGGAAAGCCGTGTGGAGTCGGGTTTGGGGCTGCACCCCTGGTCCCAGAGCCCCCAGTAAAAGCCCCTGCCTGGACTCACATCCCGTGGTGCTGCGTGCCCCTGGCAGCTCACCCCGCCTGCCTGCCCCGCGGGGAGCTGGCGGTGCCCTGCTGAGGAAGAAGAGCTGCCCAGCCAGGCTGGACAGGGCTGGGAGCAGCCTGGCACCGGGGGAGGTGTCCCTGCCGTGGCAGGAGCAGGAGCTGGATCGTCTTTAAGGCTCTTTCCGTGCCAACCCATTCCATGATTGCCGGAGGGAGCAGAGGGGGCCGGTGAGCAGCGGTGTCCGTGCAGGGATGTCCTGCTGGGAACGGTGAAGGTTTGCCCAGGAAGTTTCACAGATCTGTGTGCATGCCAGAAATGTGGAACCTGAGAGCGGGATAGAGGTGGGAGCAAGTTTTGATATAAAAGAACAAGAGATGTGTAAATTGACAGTTGCTGAGCCATTGCCAAGACATTTACTGGAGAACCAAGAAAGCAAAGGTTAAGTCGACTTGGAAGGAGGTTTTATGACTAGAACAAAGGATATGTTGACCACGAAAAGAAATAGGTCTTAGGAAGAGCAGATACCACAGGCAAACAAACATGCTGATGTGGCAAGTAGAAAAAGGGTCTGAGGATTTTCCATGGCCAGAAAAGTGTAAAAGAACTTTAAGCTTAAACTGTAGCGTACTAACTCATGTGGTTGGACAGTAATGACCACAAGATGGTAATGGTGGTAGTTATGACAGGCTACAGGTGGTAGTAAAGGTGTCGATTGGTTGTTGTGTATTAAGATGCTCAGCAAAGAAAAATATCTAATGTGTTGCAACCAAAACTAAAGGGTCTGCAGGCCTGTCTGCTGGAGCTGGCAGCGGTAGGCAGGGCTGTCACCCAGAGCTGCTGTAACATCCTGGGTGCACCGAGGTGCATTTCGGATTCTCCTGCAGCTCTGCTCCTCACCCAGCCTCTCGCTCTGCCCTTTCCCTTGCAGAACTTCGCTCCTGAGGTCCCGGCCCCGGATGATTCTCCCGGTCCAAAGCCTCGTGTGCCTCGCTGCCTTTGGCCTGGCGCTGCCCCTGGCCATCAGCCTCTTCCCGCAGATGTCCGAGGTCAGTGCGGCCCCGGGGGCTCTCACGGGGGGACAAACCACGGCCTCATCACCTTCCTGGGTGCCTGCCCCGCTCCTCTGGTGTCCTGTGGGTCCTCCTCCGTTCCTGGATGGAGCTGGTGTCTGCCCCTGCACGGGGCACGGCTGAGGGCACACCTCGAGTCTGTCCCAGTGCTGGCCCCTCAGCTTGGGAGGACTTGGAGATGTTTGAGCTCATCCAGAGGGGCTGGAGAGGGGCTGGGAACACAAACCCTGTGAGGAACCCCTGAGGGAGCTGGGGGTGCTCAGCCTGGAGAAAAGGAGGCTCAGGGTGACCTCAGCACTCCCCACAGCTCCTGGAAGGTGCCTGTGCCCAGCCGGGCTTGGGCTCTTCCTCCAGGCACGGACAGAGCCAGAGGTCACAGCCTCGAGCTGCACCAAGGGAAGTTCAGGCTGGAAATCAGGAAAAAGTTCTTTCCAGAAAGGTGATCGAGGTCTGGAGTGGCTGCCCGGGGAGGTGGGGGAGTCCCCATCCCTGGTGTGTTTGACAAAGCCTGGATGTGGCTCTGGGTGCCAGGGCTGAGCTGAGGTGCTGGGGCTGGGCTGGACTCGATGGTCCTGAAGGTCTCTTCCAGCCTGGTGGTTCTGTGAATTCTGTGAATATTCCTCTCCTGAACAGCACAGCTTCACCAGGCAGGGGAAGGCCCCTCTCCCTCACACTGGGGTTTCCTTGGAGTTAAAATATGGAACCCAAGCTCTGTCCATGAGGCCAAGAGCCTGGACCACCATTGGAGGGGGATGTTCTTCCCCAGAGCCTCTCTGAAGGCTTTTGCTTTTTCATCTCCTGGCAAGGCCCAGCCTGGGGCTGCACAAAGGAAAACCAACCAAGGAAACGGGGAATGATAATGCAGGCACTCAGACCAATTTATTTGAACAAATTGCTCGGGTGGGCTTATTTTAAGTCTTTAATTTTGGTGATTGGAGCTTTTCCTGGTTCTAAATCCGTGCATGTCCAGAGAAGGTCTCTATGCCTAAGGGAGAAAACCTCTGTCAAACAAGGACTCTCTCACAAGGTTCTTCTCCTGTCAGCTGGATCAGGAGTCTGTATCACTGTCTGCACGTGAATTCATATTTTGTCAGCCTGGGTGGGTTTATCCATGACTCCCAGCCAGGGAATCTTGCTGTACACTTGTGTGCTGACTGACGAACACGTTGGGAATTCTCTGTTGTCCTTCTTGCTGTCTCCAGGCTGAGACAAAACTGTCCCTTCTCTCTAAGAACCTGAATTTATCTCAGTCTTGGAGCCTCTTGCTAAAAGACGTGTTTGCTGAAGCTTTAATGATTCATATGGCTCTTCCTTAAACTTTTTCTAATTAGTCAACATCGTTTTTGGAGCCCTTCCATCAGGAGCAGACACAGCATTGCAGTCAGAAGCTGCACAAGCCCCAGTTGCAGGAGCAATGTGATTTCCCTGCCTCTCCTGGGCTCTGAGCATCCCCAGAGCCTGGCAGGGCTTTTGGCAGGAGCTCAGCCTCAGCTCCAGGCCATCAGTCTGTGCCTGATCCCGAGTTCTGCTCGGGGCTGGGCTGGGGAAAGGCTGAGGAGCGGTGCCAGGTCCGGCACCTGCTCAAGGTGGAGCCTGGAGCACGTCCAGCCTGCCGTGGGAAGGAGCTGGGGCACGCAGCGTCCCTTCTGCTCCTTTTCCAGGGAATCTGAGCTCTTTCAAGGCTGGAAGGGCTCACTGATCTCAACTGCTCCCCCAGCACTGCGGGGCCACCACTGACCCCGGCCCCGGGTGTCACAGCACAGGGCTTTGAGATCCCTGCAGGGATGGGGACTGCACCCGTGCCCGGGCAGCACCTTCCAACGCTGACCACCCTCTCCAGGAAGAATTCCTTCCTGTTCCTCCTTCCTGTTCCTCCTTCCTTCCTGAATATCCAGTTTAAGCCTTCCCTGGCACAATTTTCCTGGAAATTTCCAATTTCCTCCCTATTCCCAGCAAAAATCTTTCAGGATAATCAGGGGAGCCAAGACCACAGCAAGTACCACCAACCTCAGTTATCCCAAAGGAGACATTGCCAGCGTTCCTCCAAAATCCTGGAATTCTAAAATGGTTGGGTTGGGTTGGGTTGGAAGGACCCTCAAGACCCTCTCGTTTCCTGCCATGACCAGGGACACCTCCCACTGGACTTGTGGCTTTCGGGGTGACAGATAACTTCTCCTGTGCAGTGTCTGATATTCCAGCAGGGAAAATCTCGTTGATTTTAGCAGCGGAACGAGTTCTAACCCGCAGGGGAGATTCAGGGCTGGTTTTCCTGCAGGGATGCTGGGATGACGGCGCCGTCGGGAGCGCCCCTCTGAAGGCAGCTGAGCTGCTCCCAGCAGCGCAGACGTGACTCAGCTGTGCTTGGGGCTCCGACGGGATGAGGAGCGCTGCCCACGCGCCCTGCCAGGGAGAAGGAGCCCTCCCAGAGCCTGCCCGGGCTCTGCCCCTGGCATCCAGCTCTGCCGCACAGCTGGATCCCACATCTGCTCACGCCCCAGGCTCAGGGCTCCACAGGCAGCAGGGCTGATCAGTCTCAGAAGCCCAGACTGGTGGGGATCAGGAGGGATCCTAAATCCCACCCCATTCCCACCCCACTCCATGGGCAGGGACAGCTCCCACTGTCCCAGGCTGCTCCAGCCCCAGTGTCCAGCCTGGCCTTGGGCACTCCAGGGATCCAGGGGCAGCCACGGCAAATCTGGGAATTCCAGCCCAGCCCCTCCCCACCCTCCCAGCCAGGAATTCCTTGCCAAGATCCCAGCCCAAGCTCCCCTTTCCCAGTGGGAGCCATTCCCTGGCTCCTGTCCCTCTGTCCCTTGTCCCCAGTCCCTCTCCAGCTCTCCTGGAGCCCCTGCAGGGACTCTGAGCACTCCCTGGAATTTTCCCTTCTCCAGGGGAACATTCCAACCTCTCCCAGCCTATTTTCCCATCATGTTTGCATTTTCTATAAACATGTGAGTGTTTACACAGGACATTCCCCCTGTCCTCCAAAATCTCTTTGGAGGTTTCTGTGGGGATGCTCAAGGGAGCAAAGTGAGTGTTTTACCTGGAAAATCCCTCTGGATCCATTTCTGGATGGGAAATCCAAGTGACTTTGCGGGAAGTGGATTTTTGGGCACCCATCACCAGACCCTGAACTTCAGTGGCTTGGGCTTGACATCCTGGGAGTGTTTTCCAACCTGAATGATTCCGTGATTCTGTCCTGTCAGATGAGGAATTCAGAGGTGTTTAAGCACTGATCTCTGTGGGAATGCCTTTGCTTTTTCCCTCGATCAGGGGTACAGCAGGACAGGACCACGCTGTTGTATCCAGCACTGTGGGGAGCAAATCAGCAGCAAGGGGTAGGAGACGTGTTCTGTTCCAAAAACAGGGCTGTGGTGTGAGCAGCAAGCCCTGCAGGGATTCTGGGTGAGCCACGTTCTGCCCTCAGTCCCACCCTCACAGCCTTTAGTGAGTCAGGAGCAAACACAGAGGCTGATGTGCCACGGGGTGCTTGTTTTGGGCCAGGAGTTTGCGTGGCCACCTTTGATCCTCCCTCCTAACGGGGCTCAAACTCACAATTGGTTTTCCAGCAGAACTGAAGCCTTACTCAAGGTTTAATGAATTAATGGAGCCGCCTTGCCCCATCAGCTGTAGCTGCTCCAGGGTTACTCCTGTGTTACAACAGCTCCAGTGAAATCAGAGCTCAGCTCTGGCTGCAGAGTCAGGGAAAGGGAATTCTGGAGGTGAGCAACCTCCACGTGCTGGGAAGGTAGACGCACCCTGAGCCTTTTTTGGGCCCATATCCAGCCTAGCCAAGCCCTGCGTTTTGCAGGGATGAAATTCCACTTGGATTCCTGCAGAATCGCAGCTCGTTTCTGGATATTATGGCTTTAAAGAGAAGGCTATAAAAATAAACCGCTCGTATCAGCCACGAAACCATGGATCCTTGGGAATACTCACGCTGGAGCTGCTGAGAAACGTTCTTGTCATCCCAGCACAGCGTTAACTGTGGTACCTAAACCCATCAATATGCATTGAGTAATTCGCTGCTGTTAAGTTTAGGAGAAACATGTCGTTAATGCATTTAGCCCACAACCTCCAACTGCCTCCCATGCCCCCCGGGGAATCTCTTCCCTCTCCCAATCCCGCAGCATCCCCACTGACAACTCCTACTCAGCTATGCACTGCCAATGGAAACAGCTGTGACAGCTCCAAACCGAAAATGGGACTTGTGCAAATGAAATTCAGTGTAGCAGCAGAAGAAAGAACCACGGGGCTGCTCCGCTGCCTCTCTGCCCCGTGGGCCCTGCTCCTCCAGGGCGTTCCTCCAGCAGGTCCACCAGGAGCTCCTGCCGCCCGTGCCCAGCGGGATCGCGGGGGTAAAGGTGGGCAGGGCCAGGTGAGGAATGGAGAAATGGAGCTGGAGAACGGCAGAGAAGCCTTCAGCCACCCGAGCACTGCTGTCCTCACCTGGGGGAAGTTCAAAGGGTTTTTTTAGGGTGGTGCTCAATGCATCTTCCAGAATAAGGCCGGTTTCAGCTTTTCCTTAAAAATAATCTTCCTTTTGGATCTCCAGGACAAGGGGAATAAACAGCCTAAAATCCAAGGCTGAGCTATTGTTTTCCAATCTGTTTTAGCCTTCATCTTGTTGGCAGGCTGCTTTAGAAAAGCAAAAGGTTAATGAGCCAATGTGCAGTGGGATTATTGCAGTAAAGATGACAGTGAACCAGTAATTACTAATTAGATGCAGTTTAACAGGAGGAACAAGTGAAATCTCCTCTTCACCAACTGTCAATAATTAGCAGATTTGGTGAGGTTGAAATGTGTCCACAGTTAAAAGGCTGATTTTTTAATGAAATGGCACTTGACAAAAGAGCTGTATGGAGGTCACAGCCATAGCCCTCGAGACGCTTCCCCATTCCATACTTAGGAGGAAAATCAGATGCAATCCAGCAGGGGGTCCCCATGGAACCATCCCTCCCTTGGGATTGCTTTGC